GCCACCCCTCCCCCTTTCTTGTCTTCCCTGTCTTTTCTATATAAAGAGTACCCTGGTATTGCTATGTCCCAGTATCAAACACTAGACAATGTTTTTTTTATTTTTTATTAATATTGTCTAACTGTCAGGGTTACTTACTGAAGTGAGGATTCACAGCACATTTAAAAGCTAAGGTTAAAGTAGTTGGCCTTTAATTGGAAATTTACCATGAATTCTCACCTTAGTAACTAACCCTGTGTGGCTTAGACATTCTAATTGCCAGTAAAATGATGGTATGAAATATTAATATACACAATGATTAGATTCAATACCAGTATCTTGACTCAGTCACATCGCTTTAAATAACTCCCAGAAGGCACATTTTGGGGGCTGATTACTATTTACAAGGAAATTGGAAAATGTTGGTTAATTAACTGATTTGAGAATTTTTCCAACCAGACTAAATAAAAAAAAAGAAATGCTGTTTCCGGGTGAATTTACCACAATTTACAATTGGCTGTTCTGAGAAATCTTACGTGACTTACTAATAATAACAATTTATGCAACTAATTTGTAATTTAGAAGAAATCAGTCCACAGACTGATTTCTAAATGCATTTATTGTAGTTTAAAGACACCGTTATACACTCAGTTACATTACTGGGAGTGTTAAGACCTGCAGTGATTATGGTACTGCGGTCTTCTATTCCTTTCCCAATAGCTGAGCATAAGTGATTGTAACTGCAGTTGGGAGGTAGAGGAATAGTGTAGATGAATGCAGCTTCCAAGATGATTCTCCCCAGCAAGTAGAATATTCCCCAAACATGAGCCTAGACTTCATGAAGGGTACAACAGGAATGATTTTTATTGATGCCACACTGGCTTTTATGAGAAATCCTCCTGCAAGAGGACCTCCCACAGTAAACAAAGACAATAACCAATAAACACACAGCTTTACAGTAACCCCCGCCCTCTCTCTGCCTGGGAGATATTGAGATAAGTTAAGGAATAACCCAATTATCTCTAGGCAGAGGGCACACAATTTTCCCAAAAGTTAGAACACCCCTTTCCACACAAGGTATCCCCACAAATTACATATCCCCTGGTAGCCCCGATCTGGGGGACCAACATATCCAAATTTCACCCAGATCGGTTCAGGGGTTCTTAAAAAGTATGGAAGTCACAAGTTACCGATCACACACGAAGCTCCTGCCCAAAACAGTTCCACGAATTCAGCGTGTGCGGTCGGTCAATTCAGAAAAAGGCATAAAACAAATAAAAGTCCCGAATGGATCCTCCTGGCTCATAGGAGCGATTGCTCCCCTTGTTTGTATGAACAAAACTACCGAATGGCACTCTCCTGGCTGTTCTGCAGCAGGCGTTAGTAGTTTCAGCAGTGGTTCAGGAGGTCGAGTGTCCGATTTTAGTTCCAGACACTCGACAACCAAGTCCCGCTGCCTCCTTGCGTTCAAACAAGATGGCCGCCATTTTCTGTTCCACGTGGCATTCAGCTACACGAATAGCGGCCGCCCAGAGAGCCCTTAATAGATGGTTCTTTTGAAGTTAATGAGCCAGGAGGGTGGTCGGTGTTCGGTAGTTTTAAACTAATAGATCCAACATGCACAAAATACTGCAAAAAATCCCGAACATAGGAGAAAATACCGAACACAGTCTATTTTCTTCACATGGAGTATTATTGCTGTGGAGCTCCGTGATACACTCAGACACATTACTGGGAGTATTATTGCTATGGAGCTATGTTATACACTCAGACACATTACTGGGAGTATTATTGTGGAGCTCTGTTATACACTCAGACACATTACTGGGAGTATTATTGTGGAGCTCTGTTATACACTGAGACACAGTACTGGGAGTATTATTGCCATGGAGCTCTGTTATACACTCAGACACATTACTGGGAGTATTATTGCCGTGGAGCTCTGTTATACACTCAGACACATTACTGGGAGTATTATTGCTGTGGAGCTCTGTTATACACTCAGACACATTACTGGGAGTATTATTGCTGTGGAGCTCTGTTATACACTCAGACACATTACTGGGAGTATTATTGCCGTGGAGCTGTTATACACTCAGACACACCAAGAATATGGAGCTCCTAGCAAATCAAGATTGGGTTAAAATAGGGACTGTTCATCCTAAATAGGGACACTTGGGAGGTATGGATATCTGCAGTATGGTACAAAATGTTGCTATAACATCAGCAAAAATTCACTGAGCCCTTGGAGAAGATGCAGCATTACAGAATATTGATCTGACCAGTTTTGAATTACTCCTTAGCCTTCAGCCATGGGATCAATAAATGCAGTATTGCTTGCAAATTGGAGCATTCTTTCTGACCTTGCTGTGTATTGATTCAGTAAAGGACTGCTAATTTTACTGATCATAACTAACCACATCCATGGAAAATCAGTGGTTGTTTTATTAATGATGTATGTGGGTTTATGTGATATCTAAAATATTCCCGTAACCACAGGAATCGGCTGAAAAATTTGCAGCCACTTCATTATTTGGTGAGAACTCATCGCGGAAACTCCCAATCCTGGGGTTTTGATGCAATCACATTAACGTCCAAGACATTATTTTTGTAACTGAATGTTTGCCTATTTTACTGTATTTTTGCAGCATATTTAAAAACTTTGTCTACTTTAGCCGCCCCCGTTACATTTCACTAGTAATAATGTTTGCGACCACAGTCAGAGAGGCCGCCAGCAGAGCTCGATTTCTGCTGTAAAAAATCTGACATGTGAAAACATGCGCTGTGAGATGCAGAATTTAATTTACCTCCATGTGACAATGTTATTTTAATGGGTCATTCTATTCCATCACATCCAGCCAGCTGCCATCGGTTATATAAAGATATTAGCTGACTGACAGATGTCAATGGCTGGAGCTATCCAGGTTATGTATGAGCTGTGTGTCCCTACACAGGAGAGCCAGTTCATTACTCTGCAGAGCGCGATTAGCTGGGCCCCTGGCCCCATTTACCGCACTGCTTGCCCATGTGCAAGTAAACATGCATGGAGCCTCATGTCTGTGCCCAGCTGAATGACAGTTAAACATAAGGAATCCACATGATGGTAATGAATGAATTTACAGAATCCTGCCAATTCCTTGCAGCCATGTAGCTGATTTTATACATTCTTTGCTAGTTTACCTGGGCTCCACTCTTTCTTTTTTTTTTTTCATTAATATTTTTTATTGCATTTTTTACAATTACCATAACAGAGTACATAAATGTCAGTTTTCCAATACGATCATGCGTACATATATACATTGGGAGATTAGCATCTCGGCCCAATTTTAATAATCACTAGTCATAGTCATTTGCTAGGGATACAGTTCACAATATTACATTATGCTATCTATACACTCTTTCTGTGATGGAACGTTGCCTATTCTGTACCCCGTAATTACCCTTTTATGTCTGTGGTATAAACCTCATTACATTGTGTTTCCCGTAGAATGTGTCCAGTAAACTGGAGTTAAAGGGACACTATAGTCACCTGAACAACTTTAGCTTAATGAAGCAGTTTTGGTGTATAGAACATGCCCCTGCAGCCTCACTGCTCAATCCTCTGCCATTTAGGAGTTAAATCCCTTTGTTTATGAACCCTAGTCACACCTCCCTGCATGTGACTTGCACAGCCTTCCATAAACACTTCCTGTAAAGAGAGCCCTATTTAGGCTTTCTTTATTGCAAGTTCTGTTTAATTAAGATTGTCTTATGCCCTGCTATGTTAATAGCTTGCTAGACCCTGCAAGAGCCTCCTGTATGTGATTAAAGTTCAATTTAGAGATTGAGATACAATTATTTAAGGTAAATTACATCTGTTTGAAAGTGAAACCAGTTTTTTTTTCATGCAGGCTCTGTCAATCATAGCCAGAGGAGGTGTGGCTAGGGCTGCATAAACAGAAACAAAGTGATTTAACTCCTAAATGACAGTGAATTGAGCAGTGAAATTGCAGGGGAATGATCTATACACTAAAACTGCTTTATTTAGCTAAAGTAATTTAGGTGACCATAGTGTTCCTTTAATCTGAATGTATCAGCTGAGCATACATAACATTGAAAGCACAAAAGTGTGGGGGGAACTGGAGAGAGGAGCTATTGGTAGAGTATCCTATGGAGTGGAATACCCTACTTGTTCCAGGAAACAGTAAGGGTACAGTAGAGAACTTAACGTGCAACCTTAATGCGTGAATCTTTAGAACTGAACTTTTATTGATAAATTTCTAATTTGTAAAAACTGGTGAGAGTCAACACTCAAAAACACTAGTGTGTAAAACTAAATAACTAATAAATAAAATAGAATAAAATCAACACTTTTCTGAGACTTGCATAAAATACCCCACAAACGTGAGGGGACTATTGTCTAAACTGTGCGTGGTACCTGTAGTTTTAAGACAATAAGTCGAGTACAGAGTGTCCAGTAGTATCTGGGAGTCCCAGCCAGGTATTTACCAACACTTGTCTGGGATATCTCGCAATTTGATACAAAAAGTTGTAGTGGGGATTATTATCTAAAATGTGCATGGATGCTATAGTTAAAGACAAAAAGTCGGGTAAAGAGAGCCCACTTGTATCTGGGGGCCAAAGTAAGGTGTTTCCAACACTTGTCTGGGATTAGCATTCAGTTAAAACAAAATGCATAGTGGGGATTTTTGTCTAAACTGTGGGTGATAGCTTGTAGTTGAAGACAAATAATGCCTACTAATTAATAAAACAAGAATGATTTGTATATAATCCTGATATTGCTCTAAGGAAATTTGTTGAGAAACCCAATTTGCGGAGAACTCTTTTCTTATATCCCTAGTGAAGTTGGTAGAAGGCCTTTTCGGCATCCAACGCAAACAAAAGTCCCGACTCCCCTCTACGTTTGATTATTTCTATAAGGTTTCAAAAAAAGTTTGGTTGGTGGTTTGCCTGGCTTTGGTAACGTGATAATATTCGCCTCCAACATTTCCGGAGGTATGTTGCATGTTGCCATGATATTGCTAAAAAGGGATGTGAGGTATGGTGTTAGTGTCTGCAAAAGTTATATAATATAGATTGGAGAGGTCGTCTAGCCTAGGGGCTTTTATCGCCTTGTGGACCTCCTCTTCACTAAATTGAGCGTCCATCTTATCAGCTATGTCAGCGGGACTGATTGGCAGGTCTATTTTACTTAAGAAATCTTCTATGGCCCTGTCAAAGGCTTGCTCGATTTCCTTGTTCTCTTTCAAGCTGTAAAGGGAATGCATAGTAATTGGCGAATTTGTTCAGTATATGGGTAGAGTACGCCAGCTTGAGTCCCTCCTTATTGTAGATAGATGCTATTTTTGTTTGGGCAAATTTTGTTTTAAGCTTTGAAGCCAATATTTTGCTAGCTCTGTTGTCTTGAGTGTAGTGTTATGTTTAAGTTTTATCAGGCCACGTTCTGTAGCTTGTAATTGGATGCGCTCCAATTGGATTCTCGCCTGTTTGAGTTGTTTTGACTAGTTTCCTACTTGGTGCATCATTATGTCGGGATTCCAGGTACCCTATTTGCCTCTCTATAATGGAAGTATCGACTCCTATCTTGCTCCTAGCCCTAGCACCTATCTGTATGAACAGGCCCCTTATTACCACCTTATGGGCTAGCCATGTGGTTGAGGTTCGCACATCCTGTTGTGTATTGTCAGAGAAGTAGTCAGATAGAGCCTTTGCTATGAGTTTGCTCATCTCTTCGTTACGTAAAGCTGATTCATTCAGGCGCCACAGACCCCTTCCCTGTGCTGGGTGCAATGTTTGAAATGTTGTCCGCACCGGCGCATGATCTGACCAAGTCATCGTGTCTATTGTTAAATTTTTTACATTATGTAGATTTGTTCTATCCGCAAGGCACATATCAAGTCTGGGATACATGGTGTGTACTGTGGAGTAATATGTATAAACCTTGGATGTGGGGTATAGGGTGCGCCAGGTGTCATATATATATATCGTATTTGCTACACAACGTATTACTTTCCCTACTCTTCCTATTCCTTGCAGGAACTCTACTGTGGGTCTAATACACAGTTAGTCCCCACAAATAATGAGTTGACCGTTTATTTTATTTTACAAAAGGTTTTGGCTAGGAAATCTATCTGGTTTATGTTGGGTACATAGATATTGACAATAGTCATCGGTACATCATTGAGGGAGCCCACTAGTTTCAGGAGCCTTCCCTCCTTGTCCGCAAACTCCCCCTCGCAAGTAAACATCCAGTTTTTATGTATCAATGTGCTAACACCCCTTGGTTTATTTGGGGCAAAGGTGTGGTACGCTTGTGGGTGTTGTCTGGAGGTGAAGGTGGGTGGGTTTTGGGCACAAAAATGGGTTTCCTGAAAGCATGCTATTGCTTTATTTTTCGCTTTAATGTGTTAGAGCTAACCTTCTCTTATGTGGAGTATTCAAGCCATTAGCGTTAAGTGTAAGTACAGTGAATTCTCCTGCCATGTTATGTCCGACCAGTCCTTCTGCCAGACAGTACCGTAGGGGTGCCAAACACAGGTTATGTAATGCTAACAATCTATACATTGCAGTAAGAGAAAACAAATAACATAAAACATAACTAAAACATAAGTATATACATAGACATCGTGCTAGCGATACCACGATCCCGTGTCTAGTAGGTATTACTCTGGACATTTCTACGTTTGCGAACTTACAAACCCAGTGGGTGGAGGATGGGTATAGTGGAATTGATACCACTACACTTCCGGCTAGGGCCTTATAATGTTACTGAATTGAGCATCCCTCATAAACCGAATTTTGGTGCAAGGTAGGCAAATATAGCTTAACTAATCAACTTGCACAACTTAACTGTGCACACTACACAAAGTATTGTATGGAATAACATTTGCGTCTTCCTTCCATGACACGGAAGAACCTGGCAAGGTTGGTCACCTTTATGTATTTTTCTTTTTTTTTACATTTATTTTTCTATATTTGTATATTTTTATAATTACATTTTTAGATTCTTTTTTGTTTTGTTATAATTGTTGTTCAGCTGAGCAGTAACGGGCAGTAAATACACTAACTGGCATACTGCCGAACATCTCATCCCACTCCTGAGCGCATCACTAGAATACAACTTAGTACAACTTACTACACTACAATACACCACTGTCATCTGTCTATTTCTTCTAATGAGTAGTTTGGGTGGGAAGCCCCAACAGTATGGTATGTTGTTGTTCGTCAGCACTTTAGTGGTATTTATAAATTCTCTGCATTTGGACATCGTGGTGGCCGACAAATCTACATAAAGCGAGACGTCAGTCAGGTGATCTGGTAGGACTGAGGTCTTGCTGTGCGCTTGAAGGAGGACTTCCTTGGTATGAAAATAGTGAAGCCTCACTACTATATCTTTTGGTACCTCAAGTGCAAGATTGCAAGGTTTGGGCACCCTGTGTGCTCTGTCCATCAACAGCTCCTCTGGTGTAGCTGTGGGAAGGAGTGCCTTAAATAAGGTGAGCAGGTATTGCTGTATTTCTTCTGTGGAGACTTTCTCAGATACCCCTCTAATCCTCCAGATCTGCATATTTGCTCATCAAGGCTTTGTGGTCTGCTTCCATTTTAGTGATCCTGTCAATCACCCCATTATTAGCAAGACAAAGCTCATCTGTTCTGCTCTTCAGTGTTTCTGTCCTTGCCCCAATGCTTTGTACCTCTTTCCTGATGTCTTCTGTTATTTTTTGGAAGTCCTCTATTAGTGAGGATCGTAGTTGCTGCAGCATATCTCCGTAATTGGGAAATCTTCTCCTTGTAAATGCACTGACTCTGCATCTGAGCCTGCACCGCCACCATTTTGGAAAGGCTACGGTTTACTTTTATTCCCGGAATGGGAGAAATCTTGCGCTCTCTGACCTTTTGGAGGCGTCATTAGGTGCTCCTAATGTTGCGCTACCTTCACCTGTGCTCAGTTGCTCGTTTCCATGGAAGGGAATTGCTGTGTAGTCGCTGTTATCCCGAACTGCCACAGAGCTAATCCACCATGCAACCTGTCAGCAGCGCCGGAAGTCCCCCCCGGCTCCACTCTTTTCTATGGTTACATAATAGTAGTAGATACCTGGAACAGCCCTCCAGTGTGACAGGTAAAGGCTGTCAACAAAATGTAAAGGGTAGTACTGTACATAGCTGGAATAGCTATCCAGCAGAAGTATAGTAAAGAATCATGTTGTATAGAAGGGGAAGTGGATACCTGGAGTAGCTGTACAGTAGAAACAGTAATGGCTAACAATAATGTGGAACAGGTAAGAGATTCCTGATATAGCCTTCCAGTGGAAATTTAGAGGCTATTATAGAAATTGTATTAACTAAAGCTCAGGTTGGATTTAAGATTATCCTGAAATAAATGTGCATATGAATCAATCTGATGTTCAATACTATATATAGGGTGAGGTAGAGGCAAGAAATACCCACAAAATATAAACAAAGAAATAATTAAACCTGTGCTGCAGATACTCCACACTGAACTCCCAACAGTGTATTTACAACCAAAATACAAACACGAGTCCTGCGCATCCAGTATAGGTGTGCACACCCAGGTGCTACCACAATTTATCATTGGCATTGAGAAAGGGCTGCTGCTCGAAACGTTTGCAGCTTTTATTTTGTCCTCAAATAAATTGTGGTAGCACCTGGGTGTGCACATCTATACTGGATTGATGTTTTTTGGTTGATGTTCAATACTAGGCAGGTAAGCTGACCCAATACATTGTATTCCTAAACCTATAGTACTGAAGTGGCTGTTTAGGTGACCAGTCCCCCACAGGATGCTGTTTTAAACTTACCTTTTCTCCCTTGCTGCTCCAGTCTTGCCAGAAAAGCCTGTGTGGACATGCTATAGACACTAGACACTAGAACCACTATATTAAGCTGCAGTTGTTCTGGTGATTATAGTCCCCCCCACCCTTTACTATTTCTTAAAGGACCACTATAGTGCCAGGAAAACATACTCGTTTTCCTGGCACTATAGTGCCCTGAGGGTGCCCCCACCCTCAGGGACCCCCTCCCGCCCGGCTCTGGAAGGGGAAAGGGGTAAAAACTTACCTTTTTCCAGCGCTGGGCGGGGAGCTCTCTGCCTCCTCTCCTCCTCCTGGGCTGAATGCGCACAGCGGCAGAGCTGCGGCGCATTCAGCCCGTCATATAGGAAAGCATTTACAATGCTTTCCTATGGACGCTTGCGTGCTCTCACTGTGAAAATCACAGTGAGAAGCACGCAAGCGCCTCTAGTGGCTGTCAATGAGACAGCCACTAGAGGGAATAGGGGAAGGCTTAACCCATTGATAAACATAGCAGTTTCTCTGAAACTGCTATGTTTATTAAAAAATGGGTTAACCCTAGCTGGACCAGGCACCCAGACCACTTCATTAAGCTGAAGTGGTCTGGGTGCCTAGAGTGGTCCTTTAAGTGTAAAATATATTGGAATTTTTATTCCACCACCTTCAGACGCTATTGTCAGTGAGTGCGAGTCAGTGCCTCCTCTAAGCAGGGCATATCAGACTACTGCCATTGATCCAAACCGTTATACGGACCAACTGCTGTGTGTAGAGCAGAGCTAGATTCAGACATGATCCGGTGGGCCTATATTTTTTTATTTTTTTTTATTTTAATTTGTTGTATTGCAAATATTGCTTATATAATGCATTAAAAAATGATGGGTAAACTCCAATCAAAATCATTGCTACAGTGTATTGTAGTGATTATACTGCTTGCAGACGGGGGGTGAGGTCCCTCTAGTTTTTGTGGAACCATCTTCAACCATTTTCCTGCCAAGTCATTCCCTTTACTAAATACATCATTATCCATCTACAATATTTGCATGGTGTGGGCCTCACGGGTAACCTGAATACAATCCACACATTAACAGATTATACAAAGTGCTTTATGTACACGAATCAAAAGAAAATGGATGTTATACCGTTATAGAGTATGTGTCAATAGGAGGTCTCACAATTAGAGGATTGATATAAAAGCTCCGAGCTAGTACAGAATAATACGTCCCAAACTGATCATTTTCTTACACTTATCTAATTTTATCTTTCAATAAAATGTGCCTGAGAAAAAAATGACTTGCCAAAGGAACATTTTATTACCGTGTATATTAAGCGTGAGCCCATCTCAAAATTACACATTTCCATTTCGGAATATATTTGCACCATCATGAAATTAATGCAAATAACTAGCCAATTGGTTAACAAATTATTACTAATGCTAAAAGCAAAAAAGTGTTAGAGGTTTGCATGAGAATGCTTTACAGCTCGACCTTGTGATGTCTTTAATTTCACAATGAAATTGTTAATAAGTTAGTGAAAGGTTGGGCCTTCCGCTTGGTGTGAAGGACACGGCTTGGTATGGGTCTTATCACTGCAATGTCTGCCTTTGCCTGTTTCAGTTATCTGGGTTTACTGAGAATAAAATTCAATTACCAGCATTCTAGACAGGACCAGGATGGGGTCATAAGGTGGACATTGACAAATAGATTCACCACTGAAGAATTCAGGTGAGAATGTTCTTTATGGAAGAATGAGCACAAGGGTGGTTGAGGACAACTTGCAATATATTTGAGAGGAAGCTTAATGGATCTCTAAAACCAAATAGGAGACAATTTTTTTTTATAATATAATTTTTTATGTCATATATAACAATATTCAGGAGGGACAGTCCCTATTTTGGGCCCAAATCCATCTGTCTCTCTTTTCTATCCTAATGTCCCTCATTTCTGGGAGCTCCATATTGTTGATGTATCTAAGTGTATAACGGAGCTCCACAGCAATAATACTCCCCGTAAGGTGTCTTTAAACTAC